GAGGGGCAGGGTTATTCCACATGTAGGTGAGGGACTAGACAGGGCTCAGCTTTCTTCTTTTCTTGCTTGGCCTTTGTGATACGGAGCAACTAAGGCCTAAGGCTAAGAACCATATGCCGAATATGCCTGTAGTCCTAGCTACTTGGGAGGTTGAGATGGGAGGATCACTTGAGCCCAAGAGTTCCAGGTTACAGTGAACAATGATCATACTACTGCTCTCCAGCCTAGGCGACAGAGTAAGACCCTGTCTCAAAAACAAACAACAAAAAAGAGTACTAATCAACACCTGATATATTATATATGTTTTTTTGTTTGTTTTGTTTACTGCTTATTCCAAACCTAGAGGAAGGTCTGGCATCTAGTAGGTGGCTCAAAAAAACACTGGTTGTTTTATGCCAGCATCTGTGTGAGGTAAAAGAAAGAAAAAATAAAAAAAGGAAAAAAACTGGTTGCATGAATTAGTATCTACCTCTTCAACTTCTAGTCCAATAAATCCTAATTGCTTACAGTTCCTGCACTCTGTACTCACCATGCTTTGTAACATCTTGGGCATCTTTGTTTATCCTGTGCCAAGACAGCCTTTCCCATCTCCTTTACCTAATTCCTACTCATCTTTCAAGCTTCAGTTCAAGTGTCACTTCCTCCTGGAGGCCCTCTCTGACCCTTCTCCATGATCTCCAGCACCCAGTACATATTTTCACACTGGCACTTAGTACCATGAAATTATGTTTGTGTGTCTTTTTTACCTCACTGTCCTATAAACTCTTTGAGGGCAAGCATTATGTTTTATTCAGGTTTATTCCCTGTGCCTAGCATAGCAGTAGGCATTGCCTAATGAACTGAATCGATCACACACAAAAAATTCATCCCTTCTAATGGAAAAACGATTCACACTCCATGAAAGGTAAATTAGTAAACCAAGGGCAGCATATTATTTCTTACAAAATCTTTGGGTTCCATAGCATATTGGCAATATGGACATACATTTTAAAAAATTAGCATTGAGAACTGCTCTGAGAGTAAAATTAACCAGAGAAGACTGAAGCATATCTCCATGTATGATATGCAGAAGCGTTCATTAAACATTCTATAATAATAAACATGGAAAACAGAAAAGGGGCATTAGAGATTGGATTTGGATGGCTACAGACTAAGTGATAGGTACAATTATCAAGATTAATCAGAACATGGGATGGGCAAACTATGATAAAAGTGGATGCCTTCGCCGGGCGCGGTGGCTCACGCCTGTAATCCTAGCACTTTGGGAGGCCGAGGTGGGTGGATTGCTCAAGGTCAGGAGTTCGAAACCAGCCTGAGCGAGACCCTGTCTCTACCAAAAATAGAAATAAATTAATTGACCAACTAAAAATATATATACAAAAAAAAAATTAGAAAAAAAAATAAATAAATAAAAATATATATACAAAAAATTAGCCGGGCATGGTGGCGCATGCCTGTAGTCCCAGCTACTCGGGAGGCTGAGGCAGTAGGATCGCTGAGCCCTGGAGATTGAGGTTGCTGTGAGCCAGGCTGACGCCACGACACTCACTCTAGCCTGGGCAACAAAGTGAGACTCTGTCTCAAAAAAAAAAAAAAAAAGTGGATGCCTTCTGAGAAAGAATACCTATGTAATTTATTCTTGGATCCTAGACTCCCCTTCTCTCTCCACCACCCTCCTCTTGGCTTGACTTAGAGCCCAGCTAATTCTCATTATTTCAACTCAGTTCTGCCTCCTTGCAAAGCAGCTGTCTTTGGGGCCAAAACCACATAAAGACCTCCAACATCTCCTTTCAGCCCTCACAAAGTTCTTACCCCGTGGCTCCCCACCCACAGCATCTCCTCGTGCAAGTCAAAGTGGGAAACGGAGACAGGCACACCCACTTCAGCCACCACACTGTGCAATTCAGAGTAGACACCTTCCATTATGTGCACTGACTCCTGAACGGGAAGAGCCTCCAAGGCCACTCCCTCTGGGTCCAGCTCCACATTCTGTAGCAGACTTGGGTTCAGGTGGGCATCCAGGACAGGATCCAAGGCAGAATGCATGGTGGGAGCATACTCTGCCAGTCCAGGATCAAGACCCTCAAAGTTCATGATGACGATGGCAGTTGATTAGACTGTGTCACACCCTCCCTTGCCAGTCCCTTTAGCCTGACCCAACCTTCAGCAGGACAGCACCGATGGGCCTAGAATGGACATCCCGGCCTGCAAGGGGAAAGAGTTAGCTGAGTCAGGGGTAGGTCCAAGTACTGGTACTTCGTTTCTTCTAGGTTATGTGGGAGGAAGATAAGGCAGGCAGAAGGAATGAAACTGCCAGGCCGAGGATGAAGCAGGGAGGGGGCAGTGGGGTGGAGCTGGGAGAATTACTGTCCCTTCCTCTTCTTCTCTAGGCCCTCTGTACTCCCCATCATCCTACTATCTAACCTAATTCTCTTTCTTCTCACTTCAGACCAGCTCACTTTCCTGGCTCAGCCCTGGATCATCAGGTGAAGGGAGCAGGAACCACGGGGGTTGCAGTTAGAGGGGTGTAAGGTGCTTGTTTCCCAGAATTTGGGTTGGGATGGGGGGGTTGGCAGTGAGAACAAGAGAAGTCAGTTTCCCAGAATCCTCTGTAATAATTACCCAGGATTCTCTAGGGGAAAACAATAATGGCCAGTTACCCATAACTGAGGCGGGGGTAGGGGAAGGTGGTGGAAACGGCTAGTTACCCAGAATTCCCGGGGGGAACCAGAGAAATCGGTTATCTAGAATTCAACCCCAGTGGCGTGAGGGGAGAGATAGGGCAAGGGTCAGATGTGTTCTTGGGATGCGTACGGGGAATGGGTCATTACCAAGATTTCTCCATGGCGGATATTTTGGAGCGCGTGGAATTAAAACGAGTAGGGGGAGCGCAAGCACCGTCACCTCCGTGGGAAATTCCAGTTTCCCCAGTTCTCCCCCACGCTTCAGGCTCAATCTAACTCTATAGCGGGAAGGACCGGACTCCTAGTAGCGGCTTCCAATCAGGAAGGGCTTGAGACGCGTCTAAACCAATGAGAAGGAGCCAGGTACAGACGCACTCCTCGAGAAGGCGTGTGACGCAGGAGCTAGGCCAAAACAAGGTTACGGGGCGCCGTTGGGGACAAATGAAGCCATACCCTGGGCTTGTTTGCGGTTGTAAAAAGTAATCGTTCCTTTTTTAAAACCTTCTTGAATAAAATTAGACCTAGGCTTGGAAACCGAACTTTTATGCTCCCTGTAACTTTAAGATCTCTAGAATAAGGGGCGTCCAAGGCAAAGTACTGGGAATCGAGTGCTGGGTATTCCCAGCCTGGACTAGTTTAGCCCCTCTCCCCGCGGTACTCTAGTGAGCTACTCCGCAATCTCTGACCCTATTGCCCCCGAAACTCGCTGGCATTTCCTATCATCCCTAGATATGGGAGAGAAAAAAGGAAGCGGGAGCCGCAGTCTTGACACGACCCAAGCGGCCGTATCTTCCCGATTCTAAAGGCATATCCATCTGAAACTCCCATCTGTGATTGTTCCTCCCCAGAGGCCCTGGTAATATTCCCGGGGAATAGGACCCCCAGCGTATCAAATTCCCCTAGTCCAAGGAGCTGGAGGTTCTCTAAGAGGGGGATGAGAATGGCAAATTGAGACATTTGCCTTCTCGAAACTTAAACGATTTACCATCAACGGTTATTCTGAGGGATTCTTGGGGCCTGAGAGCTTGAATGTCTTTGGAATGGGTCCAGGTTGTGAGATGTCTCAGGGCAGTTTAGCTCAGCTGTTGTTACTGTTTCTAAAGGCCACATAGAGGGACTTTGGTGGAAGAAATTACTCACAGAGGATAAGTTTTAATTTTTTTTTTTTTTTTTTTTTATAATGGAGTGCAGGACCTGTTATATATGTCACCTTTTTTTTGAGACAGAGTCTCGCTTTGTTGCCCAGGCTAGAGTGAGTGCGGTGGCGTCAGCCTAGCTCACAGCAACCTCAAACTCCTGGGCTCGAGCGATCCTTCTGCCTCAGCCTCCCGGGTAGCTGGGACTACAGGCATGCGCCACCATGCCCGGCTAATTTTTTTTTTTTTATATATATATTAGTTGGCCAATTAATTTCTTTCTATTTATAGTAGAGACGGGGTCTCGCTCTTGCTCAGGCTGGTTTTGAACTCCTGACCTTGAGCAATCCGCCCGCCTCGGCCTCCCAAGAGCTAGGATTACAGGCGTGAGCCACAGCGCCCGGCCTGAGGATAAGTTTTAAAGCATTTCTCTTTCTTAAGAAAGGCTGATAAGTACATCTTCACAGAAGGACCCAAGAGTTTATATTTCTAGGACTCGGAGGGCTCCTAGACTCAGGTAGAGATCTAAGAGCAAGAGGAAAACAACTCAGAGGGTCGCTCAAACTGATCTGACTTAACAAGTCCTTAGATCTAAAATAACACAAAAAGGTGGGTGCTAAGACACCTAGACAGTTCCCACACTTTAAGAAATCTACGTATTTGAGGTCTCAAATTGAGAACTACACAGATGCATGAAAGTTACAGAGCCTGAGATACCTGGGCTAAATAAGCTGCTTTATAAGTTACAGATGTTCTTCTGTCTCCTCACAGTATCATATCATAATGCAATGATTAAGAAAGAATGCATGGCCGGGCGCTGTGGCTCACGCCTGTAATCCTAGCTCTTGGGAGGCCGAGGCGGGCGGATTGCTCACGGTCAGGAGTTCAAAACCAGCCTGAGCAAGAGCGAGACCCCCGTCTCTACTATAAATAGAAAGAAATTAATTGGCCAACTAATATATATATAAAAAAAAAAAAATTAGCCGGGCATGGTGGCGCATGCCTGTAGTCCCAGCTACCCGGGAGGCTGAGGCAGAAGGATCGCTCGAGCCCAGGAGTTTGAGGTTGCTGTGAGCTAGGCTGACGCCACGGCACTCACTCTAGCCTGGACAACAAAGTGAGACTCTGTCTCAAAAAAAAAAAAGAAAGAATGCAAGATCTGAGACCAGACATGGTGGTTCACACCTGTGATCCTAGCACTTTGGGAGGATTGTTTGAGGCCAGGAGTTCAAGACCAGCCTGAACAATCCCAGCTCCTTAGGGGGCTGAGACAGGAATATCACTTGAGCCCAGGAGTTTAAGGTTGCAGTGAGCTAGGCTGATGCCACTGCACTCTAGCTCAGGTGACAGAGTGAGACCCTGTCTCAAAAAGAAAAAAATAAGAATGTAGGATCAGAAGCCAGATTGTCTGCATTGGAATTCCAACCACTTAGTAGCTCTGTGATCTTGGATAAATAATTTATCTCTGCATTTCAGTCTCCTTGTCTGTAATATGGGAATAATAATAGTACCTATCTTATAGGGTTGTTGTGAGAATTAAATGGTTTAATACATGTAAAGTGCTTAGACAAAGTACTTGGCATAAAGTGAGAGTTGGATATATATTAGGATCATTATTAACCACCTGGGGGAACTTTAAGTGGATTTGGAGTATGGGCATCCAACTGGAAAGGCCTGCTTAGGAGTGTCTTGTGAATATGATTTGCATAACGGTTGAGCCCCAGCTGACGTCAAGGGCTTCTTGCAGCTCCAGATCAGATGTAGCCCTGGAAGTAGTTCCTGCCACACAACAGTCCCACAATCTCCCCACCAACCCTGCTTCCTACCCAACTCCTGAAGCACCAGGAAGTGAAACAGAGGCAGAGCCCCATGCCTCCAACTCACCCTTGTCCTCATCCTGTCCTGCAGAGCTCCACTTCCTCCTCTTCCTTTTCACCTTTCATCTCCTATCTTTTAGGGCTCCCAGAATGGAGACCAAAGGTGGGAAAAGCATAAGAGACATTGTATACAAATGAGGTGAACTCCCTTATGCCTCTCCCTCCAATTTCCTTATTCCATTTGTGTCCACCCAGTGTAGGAAAAGGCAAACCATTTCTCACCAAAACTGAGATAATTCTCTGATGCTAGCAATGTTTTCATCCAAAGGGTGGATTAACTACAGAATCATAATATTTGAACCTGAAGTTTGGGCAGTTTTGTATAGCTCTAAGGGAAGGGAGAACCTCCACTGAGGGTAAGTTTCTCAGAAGAAAAGGGTCAACCTCTTGGGGAGGCTTGAGGGGCCAGCTGTGTGGTCACCTATGGCCTCATTCTGACGTCCAAATTATTCTGGGACCCTCCACTGGAGTCGGGGCAGTCCCAGCTTTGGACCACCCTCTACTCCCACGCCCAAACTCACACCCTCAGCTGTTTCACTGGATGTTGCATCAGGGAGGGTGATGAAATCAGTGACAGTGGATTTTACCCATGGATGCAACAGGCTGAAGGACTAGCCAGAGTCATTGACACTATGTACATTTGACTACCAAGACCCCTGGGCTTCCTAGATATGGGATAGGGACTGACTATTGAAATGTCTAAGTTTAATTTCTAGCCCTTGCTTACACTGGTATCCTGAAAAAAACATCACCTGAATCCCACAAAGCCCATGAAAATTTAGGCTGATAGGGTTGAAGAATCAGTGGTTCTTAGCCAACAAGCCTCTTCCCACAAGAGCCCTCCTAACCTTCACCTGAAGTAGGATTCAATAAGGCCTCACGCTGCATTTATCTGGCTTCCCAGTTCACAAAGTGTCTTCATATCCATTCTCTCCTATGAAACCAGGACCATCCAATAAAAATAATGCTGTTTCCAATAAAGAAAAAGAAGAAGCCCCTCATACTTAGATGGGGACATCAAGTAGGAAAACACTTCATTACAAATTGAGCTCAACACCCTATTGAGTGATGAATGAATGCTTCTCTGTTTTGGCTTTTCCTCAGGCAGGAGGAGGTGAGGAAATTAGGTTTGGGCTGGGTAGTGGTATAGCTTTGAGAGGCAAAAGTTCAGAGAAAGATTAAACAGGAAGGAACTTGAGACCAGATTAATTTAAATGTTCGTTACTCCCCTCAACCCCCTCGTCTACAGCCATTTCGATTCCTGGAGAGCATTACACATGTGTCCCATCCCAGGCCTCTAGCCACAGCAACCACACGACTCATTTCCCGTGGAACTGAGGCTGCATACCTGGGCTCCCCACAGAGGGGGATGATGCAGGGAGGGGAATCCCACCTGCTGTGAGTCACCTGCTAGTATAAAGGGCGGGCCTTACAATGCAGGGACCTTAAAAGAGACTCAGAGACAAAGGGAGGAAAACAACAGGAAGCAGCTCAGAGACTCGGTAAGCAACAGAGGGAACCAAACCAGAGACGCACAGAACAGAGAGAATCAGGCTCAGAGCAAGTGGAAGTGGGCAGAGATTCTACAAGGGCTGGTGCAAGGCACAGAACCATCAAGGTTAAAAAGCAGGCAACAAGATGCTGGGAAGCAGAGCTATGATGCTGCTATTGCTGTTCCCCTGGACTACTCAGGGTAGAGCTGTGCCTGGGGACAGCAGCCCTGCCTGGGCTCGATGCCAACAGCTCTCACAGAAGCTCTGCACGCTGGCCTGGAGTGCACACCCACAAGTGGGACACATGGTAAGTGGCAGCCCCTGCAACCAAACTGGAGCCTCTCCAAGGCTGCAGTAGAAGACTCTGTGACTTTGGGTGGAAGCTGGAGGGTTGAAGGCCATCCATGGGTGAGAGGGCAGAAGAGTGGGGTTCCTGGGAAAGCCATGGGCCTGAGGGTCCAGGTGGGGTTCAAAAATACTTACCTTACTTCTTCATTCTTCCTACCCCCTCCTCCATTTCAGGATCTACTCAGAGAAGAGGGAGATGAAGAGACTACAAATGATGTTCCCCATATCCAGTGTGGGGATGCTTGTGATCCCCAAGGACTCAGAGACAACAGTCAGGTACCACTAGGATGAGGCTGGACCACAAAGGAGAGGGGACTGGGAACATGGCTGGGCACTGTGGTGAACTAGACATTGTGTCTGAGAATAGTAAGGAAATGGGTGGGTCTTCAGGGAGTGGAGTAGGAAGAGGGTATCCACTTCTTTCATTGTTTTCTTCTCTCCATAGTTCTGCTTGCAAAGGATCCACCAGGGTCTGATATTTTACGAGAAGCTGCTAGGATCAGATATTTTCACAGGGGAGCCTTCTCTGCTCCCTGATGGCCCTGTGGGCCAGCTTCATGCCTCTCTACTGGGCCTCAGCCAACTCTTACAGGTATGAACTAGAGACCTAGAAAATGGGGGCTTGCAAGTATTAGAGACAGAAGTGGGGGGGATTAAGGATCTAGAGTCTTCTTTGACTGTGTCCTGCCCTGTCCTGTCCTTTCAGCCTGAAGGTCACCACTGGGAGCCTCAGCAGACTCCAAGCCCCATTCCTAGCCAGCCATGGCAGCGCCTTCTTCTCCGTTTCAAGATCCTTCGCAGCCTCCAGGCCTTTGTGGCGGTAGCTGCCCGGGTCTTTGCCCATGGAGCAGCAACCCTGAGTCCCTAAAGCCAACAGCTTAAGAATGACACTCACATCTCCATGGCTTAGCAATGCCAAGATAAAACCGACCACCCCAGACACCTGTGAGCCAACAAGTTAATTAGTCCATTAATCCTAATGGGACTGCATATGTTGAAAAATTACCAGTACTGACTGACTGATGATGCTGACCTATGACAAGGTTGAGTATTTATTAGATGGAAAGGGAAATTCGGGGATTATTTATCCTCATGAGAGCAGTTTGGGGAGGAGGATTATTTATTATATTTATACTGAATAATGTACTTTTTTCAATAAAGACTTATTTATGAGGCTATGAGAATCTAATTTCCAGGCTCAGTTGGGAAAGATAAACAGATGGAAAAGTAGGGCCAAGAGACTACCATATGCATCTCTTTCTTCTATTCTGAAGGGCTGTCGCGCCCGCCTCGCCAGCAAGGAAGACGCGGCAACCGGAGTTCTTCTGACAGTGCTTTAATGGGGTTCCCTTTAGACTTACATGATGCAGAAGACCCAGCCCGGCAGCGCGCAGGCTGCTATATACCCTAGAAGCACAACCCCTAAGCTGGGATAGGCCGCTCAGCTGTCGAGCCACCAAAGCATTAGTCCATAGCAGGACCCTTCGTTTGCATGCTCGCGCCACAGGGCAACCGACAATTGCGCGTGCGCTGAACTTGTTTGCTGCTCTAGGCAAAGCCGGAAACAGGCGCCAACTTGTAATGGCGTTGACACCGCGCCCCACAAAGGGCTACAGTGGAAAGTGGTATTTTCTCATGACCCCTTGGTGTATAGAATAACTGGGATCTTTTTGATATTAATCCCTGTATGGCTGAGAAAGCAGAATGGGATCACAAGGGATTGAGATTGGGAAGTGGGGTCACTTGCTCCCTGATCCAGTGCCTCCTTCCCTACTTTCTTGGCTAAGAGTATATCTGGCCAAAGACAGGAGCCCTGGTCATTGCAGGATCAAATGTCAGAGCTCAGTTTTGAGCAGGAAGGCACTCCAGGAAGATAAAGGTAAATCTCCCAAGCCAATGGGATTCTCCTTTAAAGGACATCTGTGGGCCCTTTAGGAGTTTGGTCAACCAAGGGGAACTAAACTATCTTTGAAAAAAAGACGAGGGGATGGGGCTAGTGATAATTTCCTTTCCTTTTTTCCATAGTTGCAGCATAAAAAAAGCATGGGCTTTGGATTCAGACCCAGGTTTATATCTTGGCTTTGCCACCAACCAGCTGAGTGACAATAGGATAGTTATATAATTATTCTCTGCCCCTTGAGAGTCTAAGGGAGGATGGGCTTCTCCAAATAGGGAGGGAAGAAGAAACATGACAAAATGGGCATATGGGGGAGGGTGGAGGAGAGGCCACAGTTTGCTGACCTCAGTACTATATAGTTTGTTGGTGTCCTTAAGGACATTAGGTGTTTTGGGGGGGTTGTTTGTTTTTGAGACAGAGTCTCGCTCTGTCGCCTAGGCTAGAGTGCCCTGGCATCAGCCTAGCTCACAGCAACCTCGAACTCCTGGGCTCAAGCAATCCTGCCTCAGCCTCCCAAGTAGCTGGGACTACAGGTGTGTACCACTATGCCTGGCTAATTTCTTATATTTCTTAGTTCCTCAGCTAATTTTTTTTCTATTTTTAGTAGAGATGAGCTCTAGCTCTTGCTCAAGCTGGTTTTAACTCCTGAGCTCAAGAGGTCCTCCCATCTCGGCCTCCCAGAGTGCTGAGATTACAGGTATGATCTATCACACCTGGACCAGGACATTCGTTTTTGTAAGTAGTAAAGAAGTTCAGAGATGAAACACTTTCAGGTGAGCAAAAAGTTTATTAGCCATTTCTGCTCAAAAGGGCTGCTTTCTGAACAGGACTGTTTCTCTGACATACCAGGTAGGAAACAGCCATGTGTGCAGGACCTCTTTCATTTATGTGGCAAGTTACACTAGAAGCACATCTTAGAGCAATGGCAGGTGCCCCCTGGGGTACCCTAGGAATGGCCAAGGTGTGAGGTTGTCCAGAGTCCTGTGATAAACCTTTAAGGTTTTAAGTTCCAGGAACTTGGTCTTAGCCCAGGCCTACATCCAAGGAATAGACACATTCCTTTTAGGTAAACTATATATTGTACAAAAGAAAGGGAATAATATTATAATAGAGAAATAGCTAAGACCCAGTGCTTCTCTTCCTTTGTAAAAACACCAAATTCTATCCAATACTTTAAAAAGGAATTCCTGAATTCCCAGCAACCCTACCATCCCCAGCCTCCAGGAGTGATCTGTCTCCTAAGCACTGGGAAAATGGGGACTAGGTGGCACAATATGGCGTGCAAAGCTTCACAGGCACATTAGATTGGAAGAATCATTTTATGGGGGAGGAATGGTTGTGGCCAGCTTAGGGGCAGAGCAAGGGAGGAGACTCGTAAGAAGAGGATCAGCCTCCTCTTCCTTTCTACAGGGTGGAGCGTGATATGGTGGGCTGAGGCAGAGAGCTCTCAGCCCCTGCAGGGAAAGAAGAAATTTAAAACTTGAGTCAGAAGTGAAGGAGAGAAGAAAGGAAAAGTTATCCCAGATACATAAAGGAATCAGAAGAAAGAAATGGAGTCCTATCATATTTCTGTGCTCCCCACCAAGGTCCAATGCTAGTTTGTACCAATTTAGGCTTACCAGCTATTAAAATGTTGAAATCCTTCCATACAGGAAAAAAAAGCCACTGCCCTGAGCCCTCCAAGTACTTCCCAACTGGCCTGTCCCCAGGACACCTGTACCTCCCAGCACATCGGGCAGCCTCCAGGAGCCTATTTAGAACTACTGCCAGCACCCATTCTGATTCATGGCTGCCCCCTCCACACCCATGTTATGCTTTTACTTCTCACCCTAAACCCCTGGGTTAACCCAGCTTAGAAAGGGCACATGCCTGATTTCCCAACCGTGGAGAGCAACATCATGATGTGTGAGCAACATCACGGGGTAGGAGGGGTAAGAGATACGGAAAGAACAGGGGAAACGTAGTTCCTAGTAGTCAGAAGGAATCAAAGGTTCATCAGTGTAGAAATGGCTGGGGCGGGAGCTGTAAGCCTCATCCATGGTGTTCTGGCCGGCCAACAGCGGATCACCATTTGGCATGATTTCTTCAATCTTTATACAGTTTCTATCCACGGTGTTCAGGCCAGCCAACAGCGGGTCATCATTTGGCATGATTTCTTCAATGTTTATACAGTTTCTAAAGACTAGGATATCCAGAGAAAAAAGTCAGGCCCTGATTTTAGTTGGGAGCTCCCCACCCAGCAGGGAAAGTGAGGGAGGATGGTAGGAAAGGGCTGGACAGGGCCTGAGGGAGAACTTGGGGGATGGAGGAACAGGGAGGTGTGGGGGAAGAAATCTGAATTTTCTAATAAAAGGAATCATAAGGAAATGAGCCTCTCTCCAATGAGGAGCTTGAAGCTTAGCTTTTTCTGTAATGGGTGAGGGAAGGGAGATGGGAAGTAGACTGTGTGTCCCCTTCCCTGGCCCCATCTCAACACTTACTTTCCATTTCCTCAGTATTCAAGTGTCTCAGATCACGAGGTAAATCTGGCTCTGGCACTGGCTGTGATATAGGTATTAGGTTTGGCTCTGGTACTCTTTGTGATGCGAAGCATAGTGTGGGCTCTGGAACCGGCTCTAGCTTGGGCTCTAGCACAGGTTCCAGAGTGTGCTCCAGCAGGGGCTCCAGAGTAGGTTCCAGGGTGTGCTTCAGAGTGGGCTCTAGCACGGGCCCCAGAGTGAGCTCCAGCATGGGCTCCAGCACAGGTTCTCGTGCTGGTTCCAGATGCAGCCCTGCCTTCAGTAGTGGCTCTAAATCCAGGCCTAGCCCTGTCTCTGGCTCTGGTACCAGCCTTGGCTCCTGGTCTAACGATTCCAGCTCTGGCTCCAGATGAAGCTCTATTGGTTGTTGCAGCTCATCCACCTGTCTGGATAATCCAAAGACAGACAAAGGTCACAGGGCTCAATGATTTAGATGAAGTAGGGAATGACAGAGCAAGCAGAAGCTGTCTCTCTAACCTAACAAGACAGTAGAGCAGAAGGCTAAAGAACATGAGCTTTAGAATCAGGCTTGCTAGAGTTTGAACCCTTTCATTTACTAGCTGAGTGACCTTAGGCAAGTTCCCTAACTTCTCTGAGCCTCAGATTTATCATCTGTAAGTAGGAACAACAATATATAATAATTTTTTCTTTTTTAGAGGCAGTGTCTCACTCTGTTGCCCAGGCTGGAGTACAGTGGCATGATCATAGCTCACTGCAGCCTCAAATTCCTGGGCCCAAGCAATCCTCCTGCCTCAGCCTCCTGAGTAGCTAGGACTAAAGGTGCACACCAACATGCCCAGCTAATTTTTAAATTTTTTATAGAGAGAGGGGTCTTGCTATGTTGCCCAGGCTTGTCTCAAACTCCTTCATTCAAGTGATCCTCTGGCATTGGCCTCCCAAAGCACTGATATTACAGGTATGTGCCACTGTGTCCAGCTCCTAAAAAAAAATTTTTTTTTTTTTGAGACAGGGTCTCACTCTGTCACCTGGGATAGAGCACAGTGGTGTGTCCTCCTAGCTCATTGCAACTTTAAACTCCTGGACCCAATCAATCTTCCTGCTTTAGCCTCCCAAGTAGCTGGGACTACAGGCATGAGCCACCACACCCAGCTAATTTTTTTTTTTTTTTTTTTTGTAGAGACAGAGTCTAGTTCTTCCTCAGGCTGGTTATGAACTCTTGGCCTCAAGCAATCCTCCCACCTCAGCCTCCCAAAGTGCTAGGATTACAGGTGTGAACTGCCATGCCCAGTTCCCCTAATGATTCTTGAGAGGCAGTAGGATGGTTAAAAGCAGGACTTTGGAATGTGACAAACATGTATAATTTATTAGCTATGTACCTTAGCTATGCCACTTTACTATTCCAAACTTCAGTTTCCTCAGCTGAAAATAATAATAGTGTTTACCTGACAGGATTATTGTGAAGATTGTATAAAATGAGAACATGAACACAAAGAATTTAGCCTAGTGTCTAGCACATAATAATTTTTTAATAAATGTGGCTATCATTATCTACTCAGTTGGGTTTTGTTTTTTGAGACAGAGTCTCACTCTGTCGCCCACGCTAGAGTGCAGTTGGCATCATCATAGCTCACTGCAACCTCCAACTCCTGGGCTCAAGCGATCCTCCTACCTCAGCTTCTTGACTAGCTGGAACTACAGACACATGCCACCACACCTGGCTAATTTTTCTACTTTTAGTAGAGACAGGGTCTCGCACTTGCTCAGGCTGGTCTTGAACTCCTAAACTCAAGCAATCCTCCTG